ATATAGCCATTAATTAATCTTAATTATTTACTCATACTGTAGCAGCCAATCTATATCCGTAACACTGCTGGCGCGGTAGCGTCGTAAGAGGTAATGTGTGGCTGTTCAATGTTATTCTGTCGTGTCAATGAGTGGAACAGCTCCTTATATGGGCCCTTTTATGAATGAATGCCACGGATCTTCCCCAGAAGGAATTGGGGGACATTTGCTTTGTGCCTGGAGGTTTTCCCGCAAACAACAGGGCCATACTTGATCCATGCGTACTGCGCATGGCCTCTGGTAACGTGCCTCTAATGATGCGCCTGGAAATTAGGAAGAATTGTACTGGGAGATTGGCAATTGAGTTTTTGGATAAATTACCAGTCAATGTATCACTTGAGTGGCTCAGGAATGAGCAACAGGAAGCAACAGATAGAAGCCGCGTCAGAGCATATGTTCCAAAATTGATCATGTTATATGTATGCCACGTAGTGGTTGACTCACAGCCAGCTAACCCGAGCTTTCGAATCCTGATCGCAACACAAAGCTAGTGTGGTCACTGCAGGTCCAAGGCCTGAACCTTGTGAGCTACAATTAACTGAGTGGCTCCTGAAGTTGGTAAAGTCATGCGTTCCCAGCAACTTGTTGCTCCCCAACAACCCGTGCATTCCTACCATCGAAGGTTTAACGCATCTAGAGCAGGGATGACACAAAGCTTACATGTTGACTTAAGAACTAGGAAACCTTGTTCAGGTAATGATAATGAGCAACGAGAGTAGATATATATATATATGTACAGGCGAAGGGGAGTGCTTCCGTATTGAGTCCTTGGCAACGGGGTGACAGACTTCGTACATTGATGCCCTTTTTTCGCAACACTGAGCGCGGCATTAACAAATCCAATTACATGACAACTCATGTTACAATCACAGGAGCAAGACAAAATTTGGCGGGGAACAATGTTCATGAGCTTTATTTTTTATTGGCTTGAACTGGTAATCAACACCAAGTCCAACGAAGCCCAAGACACATAGGTCAAGGGGAGAACTGCCTGCTTTCTTGCATCGCATGTTCTCAATACGAGTTTTCGCTTTTTCATTACTCAGATTGGTATATCCTCAAATGCCCTGGACCCATTTTACCCCAAACGCCATAAAATACATTCTCTATCAGCCAGACATTTAAGCCTGCTGGTCGCTGAGGATGTCGGAGTCACCAGCGTCGAGGATGGCCATGGTGGAGCAACGGAAGAGCTTACCGCAGGCGGTACCGAGCTCAATCTGTAGATGGACGTGTAAGCCTATGAACCCTCCAAAGTCCGATGACTTCTTCTCTGGGTAGGCCACAAGAACTCAAGTTCCTGGGGCCAAGAAATGTTGTCAAGCGAGCCAACATTTCCGAGAAGGATCATGTTGCAGTTTCCCGCAACATGACGGTATTTGTAGAGAGACCTAGCGATTTGGGACTTACGTTGTTGCCAGAGAAGTGGTGGATGGGGGCCTTGGACAGCATGCTGTAGTACTCAAGCTCAGACTTGCGGAGAGGAGGAGTGTTGCCAGCAATAATGATGAGCTTGGCCTTGCCGGATCGGAGGCTCTTGAGGGTAGACTTGTAGCCAAGAGTGACTGCAAAATTGGTCAGTCCAAAGTTCGTTTTTGATCGCATCTCGGGACTCTGCGCATACCCTTTCCGGACTTCATAACAAGCGCCAACTTGGAGTTGATGCTGTTGGCATCCTTCTTGCTCTTCTTCTGGGGGGCCATTGTGACTGTTGGGCGACGGGTTGGCGGTGACTTGACGTTCGTTGATGGAAGCTGAATGTGTGAAGAAAAAGTTGCATGGGTTTTTGAAAGGCAGGTGCGTGGAGTGCGCTAAGCCCGATACGTTCCTGCCGTTCAGAGCCCTAAGCCGACATTTACCCGCTGACCTCATTCGCTGACAAATTAGCAGACATTGCGAGAAAGGCTGTTTGGGACATTCTTTGTGTGCAGCTCTGCTCTCTCCTACACCAACACCATCAACCCGGATATCCATCAAAACCTCCGACAAAATGGCGCGCCGTCCTGCTCGTTGCTACCGGTACTGCAAGAACAAGGTGCGTTTTTCTTCATTAGAATCATCTACAGAAATATTGTGATTTTGACCTCGCTGGTTCATTTCCGTCACGAAATATCCAGCGCCGTGCTTCTGCGGGGTGGTCTCTCTGATTATGAATCACCAACTTTTCAAGATCATATCATACTGACTCCTCCTCCAGCCGTACCCCAAGTCTCGGTTCAACCGTGGTGTCCCCGACCCCAAGATCCGAATCTTCGATCTTGGCCGAAAGCGCGCCAATGTTGACGACTTCCCTCTCTGCATTCACCTCGTTTCCAACGAGTATGAGCAGCTGAGCTCCGAGGCCCTCGAGGCCGCCCGTATTTGCGCCAACAAGTACCTCGTCAAGAACACCGGTAAGGAGGGTTTCCACCTCCGAGTCCGCGCCCACCCCTTCCACGTCGTCCGTATCAACAAGATGTTGTCTTGTGCCGGTGCCGATAGACTGCAGACCGGTATGCGTGGTGCCTGGGGTAAGCCCAACGGCACTGTCGCCCGTGTCAACATTGGCCAGATTCTCATGAGCGTCCGCACTCGTGATGCCAGTATGTGTAATCCGGTTTGCCACTCTGAACTATCTTACTAATCAACCACCAGACCGTGCCATCGCTCTCGAGGCTCTCCGACGATCCCAGTACAAGTTCCCTGGCCGACAAAAGATCATTGTCTCCAAGAACTGGGGCTTCACCCCTCTCCGACGTGAGGAGTACCTCGACAAGAAGGCTGCTGGCCGCGTCAAGGTTGACGGTGCTTACGTCCAGTTCCTTTCCAACCACGGTTCTCTGGAGCGCAACATCCGCCGCTTCCCTGATGCTTTCAAGTCTGAGGCTTAAAGAAATGATGGACAGGATGGAATCTGGGTTTTCTGGCGTCAAAATGGCTTGTCAAATAAGGACCTCTCGATACTCTACTAGTTGAAAGGTGCCGGTTAGGCAAATTTAAATCTTGCATTCAGAAATGTGTTCCCTCATCGTGCACCTCATCATTGATGATATCATTTAAAGAATTTCTGACTTTGACTAGGTAGTGTGATAGGTCTTATCTCAGCACGGGATATGATTTTCTAAGATCCGTAACACTGTGAAATGTGCCTCTCGATCTCTAAGTCATGCACTTCTTGGCTTACCGCAGTCAGACAGTTGCTTATCGATCAGCTCAAGCCTGGCATTCCTCTCACGTTTTGGCTTGGTGACTGGCGGGTTGTGTTGTTGGCATCCCCACTCGTACCTCTCTACCGACTATGGTGGTGTACTCCCGCTTACCTTTGGGGGAATCTTGATGCAGGAGGAATACTACCATTTCTTGTTGCTTATTATATCTCATTCCAAGGTACTTGGGATTGTGCATATCGAAGACTGTACTTCAAGAGTGTTGGCAGAGACATTCATCAATGTCTTGTTGGGGCAGTCTCGCAATATGGCTACGCTTGGATTCGGACCACATGACTTCACTTGGCTGATTTGTGACGCCATGAAGGTCACAGGTAGCGCACGCCTTTTTTCCTCAGTCTGACAGAAGACACCAGGGGTTATCGTTGGACGAGAGGGAGCCCCGTTGGTTAGGCCGAAGAAACATGAATCGTAAGGTTGTATGAGGTGAGGATCCCTTTGCTCATCGCTCGGGGACTTTTATGTTCTTTCTTTGTGAAAATTACTTGGTACCTTGGCTGGTTCAGTTTTAGCGAGAGACTTGATAGTCGGTGTCTATCGTGTGGCGCTGTTCCTTTAGGTCGGTTTTAGTAGCATCCATTAGCACAGTCAGATGCAGTATGAGATGAGAAGTGGCTGGCTAAAGCTGGCACTGGACAAATGGAATGTGAGGGCCTGGGGGATCATGAAGGCACCTCACCTGCGGCTGTGTCACCTTGGGCGGGACAGCGGGCAGACTAGATCATAGGTACCTCAGATCTGTCTTTGATGGGCAGCAACTTATCACCCTGCATCTGATCTTGGCTGTGGATATCTGCCGGGCCCTTTTTCCTTCTCGAAGAATGTAACAATCGTTTATTAACCGTACGACTTCTTATTAGGCATTTCAACTTACGGCTGCGGTTGAAATATCGGTCAGCACGGCATGAAGTGATAAGCAGGCCCGAAATGCCATCATGGATGTTTGTTCGGGCTTCGTTAACAAGATTGCTACGCCTGTCCACGTCAGAAGAGCCAGAGCTAGAATCAGGGTTGTATGTCTTAATGCGGTCTTGGGTTTGTCTTATCCATCCGCGTCTCGCGACTCATGCGGGTGGACTCTGTTGAGTGGGAACGCATAGTTTTAAGACGTCTCAACTCTTAACATATCGATACCCAGCATTATGCAGTGGTACTTTCTACCCGTCTTTCCGGATACTGTACATGTTTGTTTCTCTCTGTTTAAAAGGCAGCTGAGCTTCACTGGCTACGGCGGATGGATGGACAAGTGAACACGCGAGCGTCTTCCCCCCCACCCGCCGATCAACCCCCGACTACAGCGTCTAGATGACGCCCATGAGCGTAGCATCCCTCTAAGGTACGGATACTGGCCTAGCTTCCTTTGGTGCAGTTCGCTTTGCGCTGAGGTGCTTGACTGGCCCCTCCAAAGGTTCCATCTGCAATCCTCCCGCCTCTCTTTTCCCTATCTCTTAGTGATACTACAAACCCTTTCTCCCCCCAACATTCTTGTTTTTTGAATCTTCTTGTCTTTTACTTCATACCTTCATCTTTTTCACTGCTTGGACTGCTCGAGGCCGTCAACCGCGAGTATCCAAATCCATATACTACTTGCTTTGTTCCACTTTACCGCATATCACCTCCGCCAGCCCCCCGACACAGGCGGATACAGTTATCTAGGGGGTCCACTTCCATCATCAACGCATCTTATCTTGTCCGCCATTTCCTTATCGGCGCCAACATTGTCGCTTCACGACAGTTACAACGAGCGTAACAATCATGGCTTTCCATCAGCCGACTCGACAGTCGGTCCAGCGCGTCGTACGGGCTCCTGTTGACGAACAAGAGATCCCCCGGAGAGAGGTGCCAATTACCCAAGAACGTGAACCAGAACAGTCGCAGACATGGGTGCTCTTCGCGCCCACTGACGTGACAACAACATCATATCTCACCGAAACGGATCACTCGTTGAAAACTCCTGGGAGATCACGAGTGGGAGATCTGGGCAGCTTGATCTCGGCTGCGAAATCGGAGGCTGAGTCACGCCAATATGCCTCAGCATCTGGTCTTGATGAAGAGGATGATGCCGAACTAGATAGTCTAGATGGCCACTTGCCTGGCTTTCGCTCAATATCTGCAGTGCAGCATCAGCCGCAAGACGAACAGCAGGGATCTGGGCCAGTGTTTCCCGGCCACGATGGTCTGGGATCCTTCCACCTTGACCAGCCCACCTTGGGGGCCGAAGCGCAAGATCACATCTACCAATTCGAACGATTCAATCCCAGACGGCAGTATCAGCGAAGAGAGAGTTTTGATCTGCGGCAACTCGATGTAGAGCACGACCAGGTTCATGAGGCAGAGAAGCGCCAAAGAATCGAAGCTTGGCGACTGGAACACAGTCGAGTATTGCTAGGTGAGATTCAGCGCGAGACAAGGAGGAGACGATTTTCGCAGGCATCTATTCAGAAACGTCCGTCCTCCAATGTGCCTTCTGTACCGTCGGCCCTTGCGTATGATGGAGAATCAGACAACATGACGTGGCACGATGAGGATGCTATTGGAACATCATCAGATTCAGAGGGGTTCTTTTCTAAAGTCACCAGACGATTCTTGCGAGATGTAGTGGGAATGGACGAACGATCGATTTCAGTGTTCTTAGGAGAAACGGTACTTGAAGATGATGAAGATCTATCGTCAACACCCCGCGCCTCCCAAACCTTGGGGTGGGAGTCGCAACACTTTGCCTCTAGAGAGGAGTGGCAGTTGGACATGCTGGAGAGGATGTCAAAGGAGCTTGGTTCCCTTGTCAGCCATATTTCGCACCATCCTGGTGCATTCTCAACCTATACTCGAGTCCAGCAGATGCCTCTCCCTTACGCTGGCCTTCCAATCATCCCAGAGTCAAACTCGTCTCATTCCGCCACAGACAACATTCGACCAACAGAACCCGAACACACGTCATTCCCACAGTTCAAACCAACAATCCAGACATCATCACAACCCATCAACATTCATGGCAGATCTGAACCATCGGCCGAAGCAACACAAACATCACGACAAGACACTCTTATGAGCAACACTTTCACTCAGGAAGAATGGGAGAAAGATCTTGATATGAAACTGGTGTTCAGATATCTACGCTCTCGTTTCATGCCACGAAGCAGCAATCCGGCTCCATCAACACCAGCTCACCTGGCTACGTCGAATAGTCAAGACACAGCCGCAAAACTGGCACGTGTCCGTCAACACCACCCGCTGGTTTCACGCATGCGACCTCCCGCCGAACGCCGAACTTTCAAAGCTACAACGCCCGGAAGTCCAGTGGCAATTCGGCATCCGAGTAGCTGCGCGAGTCAGAGTACCAGACGATCCGCTCGCCGTAGTAGTGTCTCATCTCGACATTACTGGGACATAGGTGGATCTCTGGGTACAGGCTCTGTAATCGCGTCCAACGGTCCGATGGGTAGCTGGGGCGAAGTGTGACGATAACTATGCTGTATGTGAAGATGAAAGTGTGACAGATGTTGACGCATGAGCTACGAAGGGCGCATTATAACGGTTGCATCAGGAGTATAATGAGCATTTGCCCAGTTACAGGCTAACTACATGATGTAAGTTTTAAACGAAGGAAATCACCACTATTGAAAATTATTCAAAGATGATGGTTGGAGTTTTTCTGGGACATGATAGAGTTTTATTTTATGATTTTACGGACTTGTCCTTAGGCAGGTCCCCAATACCTACTCACTTCAAATAAAAAAACTATTCCTTCATTCTTTTACAGACCAACTGCCTTCCATCGTCCTGATGCTGATTCACTGTGAATTTATTTTCTTTGTCATTAAATGTTCTGGTGTGTTGCACAGCCAGCCATTTATCGAGGCGAGGGGCCCAGTTATCGCCTCACTGAGCGAGTCGAGATCAGAACGCAATGGGACATGACAATCACGTCAATCTTGAAAAGAAAGCAACATCAGGAGAGGCTGAGAGCCAATTGAATTTTCAGCCTCGTGTGAAACTTGCCTCAATGAGGCATCTTTAATTCTTTGCACGGGGTGTATTATTTTTTGTGAAAACAGCTCCAACCTGTACCTAAGTCCAGAGGGGTTCTTTGCATGTGGTGTAAGTCCTGAACTGCGTATCATTCACACGCAGTAACGGGCCTAAGATGGTTCTTCAATCAAAAGTTCTGACAATTATGACTCCTTTTCTTTAAGATATACTATATTTTGACTACTGAGTTTTTCCTTTCTAGAGCACATTGTCCAACCGTTCATTTGACTCAACTTAGACCAACGGGGAGAAGAGGGAGGCGCCGTTCGCTCCCGTAGCAAGGCGGGACTCGTCAAGTGAGGAAACACCCTATTGGCTAGAAAACCCTCATCTCGAAGCGCTTCCTTGTGCTTTTGTCACTTTTAGTGAGCGTGCACTGGCGGGAGCACTTAATTAGGCGGGGTCAAAAGAGAGGCAGCTCTGAAAGTGACTTGGCGAGGAGCGCGCTCTGAGACAAGTGGTGCCGCTTTAACAAGTTTCGTGTCTCCCTTGCATTTTAGCCAAGAGGACGTTAAGAGGCAGATGTGAAGCTTCGTGTTCTTCAACGGTTATCGTTATTAAAACCTAAAAGAATATCTTGCCGGTCAAGCTGAATTAATTCCCTTACTACGAAGCTTGAACTTATTATTTTGGCTGATAATTAGAGCGATTGAGTTGTGTTGGATGTATTGTATTTCTGGTCTATTTTCCGCTGTAAAGGCAGCTATGATTACTTACCGTTTATGGCAATAGCGCATCAACAGGATTCGCGCGTGTCCACCGTCGAGGCGTGTCTTGCTGTGGGGGAATAGGTATGATTCCCTATCCCCGTCCCCAGGCTCTTGTCCTATCTCATCTCGTGAACCACTCGAAAAGCAGTCGCCTTGTTCGCCCTGTTCCCTCCTCCATAGGCAGGCAGACATTTCGAGTCCCCTCCATCTTGTGCCTCGTGCTCTTGCGACTTTGCTTCTCGCCCACTCCCCCCGTTCGCCTGCGATTTCTCATCGTCTCCTGAGCTTCCATCGTATAAATTGCGCTGTTCCCTCATCTGCGCTCGTGTGCTTTCCCTCCTGTGTTCGCGCTTTGGTCAGTCTCATCCATGCCTTGGGATTCTGTTCCATTTCCTCGCTCGGGTTTTATAGATTGCGCCTGGATATTTTTCAACCTCGACGACCTGGACAGCTCTTCTAATTGATCTTATAGTGCGATGAACTGAAATTAGGCGGCCGATTTGCCTGCGACCCTGTCCAGTTGGGCCTGGTTGCGGCCCTTGACACATCATCAAGGCTGTCAGCGACCAATTGCCATACCATATATCTCTCTCTTATATAGTGTTTCCTCCCAACCTTGGACCTCAATCATCGAAGGCTCCGGAGTCTATCTACACATTCGCTTTCGATCCCAACCCCGCGACATGAGCGCGTGTAGCTTCCAATGGCAACGACTCCGTTGGACCCGTCTCACTTCGCCCCAAATGCTTTCGATATATACACAGATGCTGTCGCGATAAGGGCGCCGACTCCCAGCTTGCCAGGAGGAGCTTGCGGTTTCGTGGACCTAAATCCTGGTGCCAATGGAGCCCGATGTGGATGCCGGAGGTTCTGGAGTCGTTGCCCAACTGGCAATCTTGTACCGGACCAATCCCAATGGTGTATGTGCAATCACCACGCCTGCTATCATGAGGAGGGATCTCGTGATGTTCAGCAGCCCGAGGTTGGTATACCAGGCCAGGAGAACGAAAGACCCAGGACCGGAAGAGAACCGTTAAGCCCCGTAGTGGACATTGCCGTCAAGACGCCCCCTGTGATACCCGGAATGGATTTCTCGAGTTTTAATGCAGGAGCCTTTTCTTTCATCCAAAGGACACCAGACCAGAGATTGCCGGACCAGAGAATATCCGCGGATACCGCCCCATTTTCACGGATTCCTGCCAGCCAAAACCTCGGTGCTTCTGCCTCAATCCCGGATACCTTAAGCTGGGGTTGCCTTCTTCAGTCTCAGTCTTGCCCTTCTGCTATCCCACCGATACCGGCCCAGTGTTTGATTGCCTCTCAGACCGCATCGACAACCTCATCCGCCCAAGCCAAATATCTCCGGCCGTTCGCAGGAAAGGGACTCCACACACTCAATGGGCTTACAGCAGAGAAACCTCCGTCTCCGACTCAGGCCAATACCCAGGATGTTCCTCCAACTTCTGTGCCTCAGAACCAGGCGCCACCAGCTGACTCTTTTACGTGGACTTCCCAGGACTACAAACCACCTGACACTCCCCGCGCAACCACACCAACCCAGTCCGAACCCCGAGCTACAGCTTTCAGTGCCGCTGTTTCGCGTCGCGCTTTCAAGAATCTATCTGATATTGTCAGCGGCCACGACCAGCGTTTAGATCGGCTGGAGACGGTCTCATTCACAGTAGCGGGACACGAGGAATGCCACGAAAAGCATGATCACGCCGACATTCGCATGACTGATTTAGAAAGTCGCGTTGAGGAAGTGGAAAAACTTGTCAATGATAACAAGAGCGTTCTCAACGACAGCAATAGCGTCACGTCTCGTCGTGGCGATGATGCAAGTGTGATATCGGTATCGACCAGCACTACGAGTCGGCCAACTCACTCACAGGAGCTTTGGAGTCAGGTCCAATCTCTACAAGCACAGGTGGTGCAATTACAGTCGCTGATGCCATCCCCAAATCATCCATTTGAGATCGAAGTAGTCTTTCTGCCTTTTCCCCTCAAAAAGGTGTGGCAGGAGGCACAGCAGTTCAAGAACGAGCCACAAATCTCCAATGATGACTGGACGCAATTACCCATGACGCACAGCACTGCAACTCTCCGGTCTGAGATGTCGCTCTACCCTGACTGGATGGTCTCGGATCAAGATACGAAATGGCTTCTGCCTAAAGCTTGCGCAGACAAAGGCGTTATTGATCGACGATTGCGCAGCCGTGGTCTAATCAAGACGATATCTGTCAAGGGCTCAGACGCCCGTAGCGTTACCATGGCTATGAATGCAGCCTTTGGTCACCTCTTTCGCGAGATGAACATTTTCTCTCGTCCACAAACGACAGATCCTCGCTCATCATCCTTTTTGGGACTTCAATCCACTTGGGTCCCCCTTCGCAAAATCCATAAGGACTCACGATTACGCTTCCTCAGTCCCGCTGAGATGATGACTCCAGCTGTGTGGGATGTTCAGTTCCTGAGCCAAGTCATGATGAGAGCTTCTGAGCCTAGGTTGTTCGTAACTCATCCTGATGCCTACCTTCAGGACTTTCAAGCCTATGAAATGGGCTGGACGTGGCAGATGCTCAGGGAAATGAGCCCGGTCGCTCCTGATCCATCAGCCTCACTAGATGAAGGCAAACCCTATGAAGAGTGCTGGTCTTGGGTTGAGCAGCTCGATGAGCCACCAAGTGCAAGCAACTCCATGAGCGTACGACCTGACAAGGCACCCACCTCATCATCACCATCACAGACCTTTTATCCAGCTTTGCAGTCAATTAAATCTGCAAGTCCGTCAGTGACACGTGCTCAGTCGCCTTTGCTCAGCAGACGGGGCTCTCGCCCACCTCACATTAGAACTTCTTCAATGCCCATGTCTGCCCCCATACAAGCCTCGCCTGCTCTCAGCAGACGCCGCGTTGCGTCATATGGACAGAGCCGTCGCTCGTCCCCAGCTCTGCATGCCAACTCCCAGGCGGCAATCATGAAGCGTCGCCGCACAAGATCACCCAGCCATCGTTTTACACCGAGATGGACTGCTTCACCAAGTCCAATGCCTCTTGGAATTCATGATCGCCAACCAGCGCGTGGCACTACTCCCTTTGCCTATGCCACGCCGTACAGCAACGCTCCTCTCCAGGAACGACCTATTCGCGCTGGAAGTGCTGCTCCTGTTCCCGCCCAGGATGACTTCGACGATGACTCTGACTTTAACATCGAGATTTATGAGAGCGGGTCCGAAGACATGGAAGACGCTGAAAGTGTGAACGACATGGAGATCGTCACACATAACCAAGCTCTCGTAGAGCAAGGTTCGCAGGGCTGGCAGCTTCCAGAAGATGAGCCGTGGCCTGGGATCGAGGACCAACGCGAGGCTTCAGACGGCGAAAACGTTGATCCTCACCAGACTGATCCTGACAGCAATGTCAGCAGCCAGCCTTCTGAGTATCCCAGTACACAAAATGCGTGGCCAGATAACAACGCGGCCGAGTTTCACATTCACGAAGATGACGATAACAGATCATGAGGTTTTCGAAGTACGTTATATATGATTGCTGCCAAACAACAGGAAGGTAGCCCCATTTCCAACTCTCTGTACACATGTCCATCTCCACCAGTGGTTGGCATTTTCATTATTCTATGTGTTTATAATTATATGCTTGGCGTTTCGTAGAAAGTTTCTGGTTTATGTGGCGTTCCTGCAATCAAGGTTTGGGGTGAATGGCGCTTAGGGGGTTAACAAGGGCGTATGATTCTATGGGCTGAATGAGTCAATGTCATTCAGATGAAGTTGGGTGTCCTCTGATTCTGGATGTTGGAAGATTGTGCCTTGATAGCGGGAAAAGTTTGTAGATCTGGGAAGGATCTTTTGTACCACGATACCAGCTCACATCCTCCTCTTTTTCTGAGCTTGTTGGAAGATATACCAAGCAAGCAATGTATATTGTCCTATTTGAACCCATGGCCCTTATACTCTGCCTTGTGATGAGAGACGAGACAGGGAAATGATTTCGAGAGATAAATCCACTCAGTTACCAACTGCTCTCCGAGGTATATTTCAAGTCACCAATGTGAAGCGTCTCATAGCTATATATTCCCATTTGGACTGCCCATAGGCCGTTTGGCTCAGAACTGAGACCTCCGGGGCCCACTTCGAATATGGGCCATGCTGGGGTGAAAGCTCAAGTTACCAGAAGAGGAAATAATTAGAGAGGTTGAATCAGCTTTGCTTTTGACATTCAACTCTCTCTATCCTTCCAAGCATCGTTCCACCACCCACCCCACGTTGTGCTTTGCATTGTTTGGCCTCTTGTCTTGTCCCACCGACGTACCTGTTAGCGCGGTTAAGCCGAAAATGGCAGCAATTGGGCAGAATAATGAGTTACAAGATTTACCGTTAGTTAGCGTTGACCAAGTACAAGAACAGTACAACATGGGTTAAACGGCCAATGCGCTGTATCATGACTCTATTTCACCGTTTACAGTCAGACGAAGCTGTCTAGGGTACCCAGTAATGCCTCAGCAACCTTGAAAGTCACCGCCTAATAATCATCTGGGGCCCCAATCGATCGATGCCCAAAAAACGACAGTGCCATCACCAGGTTCTGGTTCTGTCTCTGTGTGGGCGGCGTCAAATTTTTTACCCGCTAAAGCCATCCAATGGCTGTGTCTCCACTAATACTTACGACCGGGAGCTCTTACATTCGCAGGCGCGGACGCGGGTACCTGTACAACCATGTACACCAGTTGCTCCAGAAGCAGGAATGGATGCACCTTTTTAAAAAGTCAAGACTCCCGCCTTTTTCTTCACCTCCACGAAACATCACCACTTCCTCCTTCGGCTCGTCGCTTGCATCCACATCACGTCGAACCTTTTCTTGTTCTTCTTTCTACTCTTCCAACAACAAAATGTCTTCTGAGGAGATCACCCACCCTACCATCAAGGGTATGTTCTTCTTGCTGTTCATGTTATCTTTTTTTACTGCCCCGCGTTATCCTGCCCCTCTCTCATGATACATCATCATGCACATGTCTGGTCACTCAATTCCTGGCGGTTTCTCTCAAGATTGAAGCCTATGACTTGATAATTGATTCTTATAAGATTTCGGGCTCAAATTCTTGAGCTTATCGCTACACAATGGCGATAGTCTCAGCTCTTCAATCCACGCTTCCCCTCCATACACCAAGATCTTCGCATGCACTCCAATTACCTCAGAGTTTTCATTTCTTGTCGGCAAAAGCTAATAGTCTCTTCAGATGGCTGGTTCCGAGAGATCTCGGACATGTGGCCCGGTAGGCACATACAATCCATTCAGAAACGGCTTTCAATTCTTACCCTACCCAATAGGCCATGCCATGACCCTCCGCGTCGAGAAGGTCCTCGTCCACGAGAAGAGCAAGTACCAGGATGTCCTCATCTTCAAGTCCACCGACTTCGGCAACGTCCTGGTCCTCGACAACGTTATTCAGTGCACCGAGCGTGACGAGTTCTCCTACCAGGAGATGATCGCGCACCTCGCCCTCAACTCCCACCCCAACCCCAAGAAGGTTCTTGTCATTGGCGGTGGTGACGGCGGTGTTCTCCGCGAGATCGTCAAGCACGATTGCGTTGAGGAGGCAACCCTCTGCGACATCGACGAGGCTGTTGTCCGCCTCTCCAAGGAGCACCTCCCTTCCATGGCCTGCGGCTTCGACCACCCCAAGTCCAAGACCCACATTGGCGATGGCTTCAAGTTCCTCAACGACTACAAGAACGAGTTCGACGTCATCATCACTGACTCATCCGATCCCGATGGTCCCGCCGAGGCTCTCTTCCAGAAGAGCTACTTCCAGCTCCTCCACGACGCTCTCCGTGAGGGCGGTGTCATTACTACTCAAGGTTGTATGTTCCCTATTTTCTTGAGGAGAGTAACTGGCGTCCCTAGGAACGGCAGAATCGGGGAACCCTCCCGGATCAAAGTTGATCGCTGTGGCTGGGATCTCCCTCGATGGGTACATTTTGGTGCCGCTTCCCTCCTAGGGGCTCCCAGAAGCTAGTGCTGCTTTCCCAGCTCTGCTTCCGGTAGTCCCGCGATAGCATGCATTTCGTTTGTTGGTTAACGTGTGCCGCGTTCGTCCGTTCAGTTCTGCTGTTCCTGATCCGCCATGTTATTGTAGTATTGCATAGTAGTTTCTCCTGGGACTACACTAACTCGTTAACTTGCTTACAGCCGAGAGCCCCTGGCTTCACCTCCCCCTCATCACCCGCCTCAAGAAGGATTGCCAGGCTATCTTCCCCGTCGCCGAGTATGCCTACACCACCATCCCTACCTACCCCTCCGGTCAGATTGGCTTCATGGTCTGCTCCAAGGACCCCAAGGCCGATGTGAAGACACCTCTCCGATCCTGGACCAAGGAGGAGGAGGACGCCAAGTGCCGATACTACTCTGCTGAGATCCACAAGGCCAGCTTCGTCCTTCCCAAGTTCGCCCAGAAGGCTCTTGAGTAAAGCTATTTACCATGTCGAGGATCTTTGGGTAGGATGACTGGTCTTTTATGAGTTTACGTAGGATAGGGATCAACGGAGATATAAAAAAGATGACCAAGGTGGTCACGAATAGATTAACACGGACGCAAAGGTATATATGTGTTCAAAAAGGAAAAGACTCTGGCGTTTTACTGCAAGTGGAGTCATGAAATAAAGGATTTTGATCCCTCGCTCAATATATCCTCCGCCATTGTCCCGTGATGCATTTCAATCTTGGCTTTCATATACCGCTCAAAGGGGTAGCAGTCTCAAGACTCAAGGCTCCTCAAACTGAATCTTGCCCTCGCTCACATCAGGGTATACATCAAACCTTCGTTGAGTGTTCAATGGAATGTTCTTTCTCGCTTCTGTAATCTTGTCAGGGTCGAGTTCCCAATCGACAGTGGTCTCCTTCTCATCTGCTTCAACCTGAACCTGCGCCATTGGGTCGGCAACAAGACTGTGGCCGTAAGCAGGGTAGCCCGTCTCAGCGCGTGCGGGACTACAGAGAGCTACATAGAGCTGATTATCGGCAGCTCGAGCTCTACCGAGCAGTTGCCAGTGAAGAGGGCCGGTTGTGGTGTTGAAAGCACCAGGATAGATAAGGGCAAAGGCACCCCTTCGAGCTGCAATGGTGGCTAGTTCAGGGAAGCGAACGTCGTAGCAGATAGCAACAGCAATCTTGCCGTACTCGGGAAGATCAACAAGTGTTACCTTGTTACCGGGGCTGAGAATATCTGACTCGCGGAATGTGATCTTGCCAGGGATGTCAATATCAAAAAGATGCACCTTGCGATGTGTACCTAACAAGGCACCGTCGGGTCCAAAGATGAGAGTTGTGTTGTAGTACTTCTTCGTATCCGGGCTGTACTCTGGAATTGATCCACCAACGAGGTAGACTTTGTTATCGGCGGCCATTGCAGAGAGGGCGTGATAAGAGGGCGCAGCATCGTTAGATGGCGGACTAGGCTGTAGAGTCTCTGCGTATTGAGGGAAGTGATCTGTCCCATAAGGCGAGTTGAAGCATTCTGGCAGAACAACAATCTTTGCACCCGAAGAAGCTGCTCGGGCGACCTGTGAGGCTGCACTATCGAGGTTTGTCTTCTTGTCAGAGCCAGAAGCGAGTTGGATAAGAGACAGCTTAACACGCTGCTTAAGAACTGGTTCAGTGATGGACGACATCTTGCGGGTGATGGAGGGGCTGCTTCGTTGGAATAGTGAGAACGGTGATGCTGAGGTCGTCAAGGATCGAGATGTTAGTGCGAGTCGGCCGAGGACAGTTCGCATCGTTTATGAGCAAAATCAGCAAGTTACCAAGATGGCGAAAGATATGGAAAGATTGATGAGGGTTGGTGCCGGCATCGGGGTACGAGTGATGTGATCCAATGGAAGTGGGGGTGGGGTTCATTACGAAATAGTACAGAGCTCTCGGTATGACGCGGGGCAAGAGGAGGAGATGCTATTCGTCAAAAGTTGTATTCATGATCGAGTTGACCATAAGACAACCATTGAATAGTCTACTGTTGCCACGATAATTTGAGAGACTATTTAGGGGAACCGCAGTGTTACTCAAGATGAGGAGATACCCATGAGCTACACAGAACTTCATACGAATTACTCAACAGTCGACGACCCTGGCAAATCGGTTCTATCTCAGGCGCTCTAGGCTTGATGTCGAGTATACGAGTTTTAAAAAAACAGATCGGCACAGCTGCAAATGTCATATTTCGAGCAAAGTTCATTTCTTAAGGAGTGAGATTAGCTGCCAATTGTTGCTCCTGTAGCAGCACAGCTTCATCCTCCAAACCAAAGATCAGAGTAAATCAAGTCAAGCCTCAAAACGAGTGACACCAGACAAATGCCGGCCATAACCAAAATCCCTCCATAGATAGATATCCACACCAATAAAAGCAAATCACATGGTATCTCAAACGATTGAGTGTGCACACTTGTATGTAGCCTGATACGGCTGTCCCCTCTTATACATATCCTGGAAGACATTTCTTAGCAAGACTGACCATAGTCTGCCATGAGGTAGAGTGATCAAGAACGCCGACCATAGACACTGAAACCACTTGAGCCTCCGTGAGAACGGCCATGCTGGCCACCTCTGGATGGAGGAGGTGGTGGAGGAGTGGTGCCTCCCTGAACCTGGGGAGGGGAGGATCCTGTAGCGAGATAGCTGTAGGAAACCCGACGAAGTTTGGTTCCATGACAGGCCTGGCATAACCCACTGCTTCAGCGTCAGTAAAGTTGAGATACAATAGAGAGGATAGTGAACATACGACCCACGCTGGAAGGATCCAGCGCACAGATCACAGGTAATCCAAGTCATGCCTTCATCATCAAAGACATAGGAGGATAGAGAAGAAGCCATGGTAAGTGATGTCAGGAGTTGTTGCCGTTTGTGGTGCTTGAGTTTGGTAGTCAGTTGAGTTTCGTATTTTTCCGAATCTTTCATTGCAACATCAGGAAGGCCGATCTATATATATAGTCTCAACCTAGAGAGCATCAGCTTCGGCCATAGTATACATCGGACAGCCAATGCGACAAAGGCTATGTTCATCGTTCAGAACGGCCACCAACACACCGCCTCACAAACAGGACGAAGGCGTGAATTGACATGGAGCGTCATAACATGTCTGTCAGAGTTGGTAGCTGTTGTCAAGATGCCGGCTGCAACCGGGTCTTGAGATGGCGATCGGGTCAAGGATGCTTGGTTGCCTTAATCGGGCTCAAATCCCTAGACAATCTGTTTCGTGCCCGAACTCAACGGCGCTCATCTGAGCCGGGATGCAAATTCACATATCTGGGGTCCTGGGTTTGGGCCTCATTTCCAGGCGCACATCCCTACACCAGCTCCTGTCGGCCCCGAACTACAGCACAGACTTGGCCAAATAGCTGCGCTTTGTGGCTTCTGCACTTCATGCAACTCTCCTTCGGTCTGTACCAAGAGCGCCTCCTGGACCGCGTCGTCGGTGCTTATATGGAGGTAAAATGCCTCGAATTGTTGACCGGTTGCGGAGGTGTCCGGCAAATCACAATCCATGCTGACCAGCTCTGACGGCTTGCTGCATGATCGCAAGGTTGTGCCTCATACCCCGAGCTTTTGCGACGAACCAGGTTAAGCGGACTCTGTGACTTCGGCTGAACTCATGCAGCTTCGCGGGTATTGAAAGACGCCATTTCTCAAATAGCTGTGCTATTGCGTGCATGCCTAAGTAGTTGCAGCAGCCATCATTACTTGCCCAACACCCTTAACAGATGCTGGAAATTCTGGAAAGCGCTCATCTGGTGGGTGTCACATATGGACACTGAGCGACAGACTGCTCGCGTCTCGTGAGGAGTCAGCTAGTAGCCTTGCTTGGAAGGGGGATGCAGAAAGGATATATTCGCATCATCTGCGATCTTGATATCCCGTCGATGTATAGTGCAGGTATATGAAACCGAGATCCTGAGAGAATCCTATTCTTGGCCATCATGTTGTGCCCATCCTGCCTCTTATCCGGTGCAACCTCCCGATGAGCGTCGGGCCTCTCCAACTGGCATAGTTCAACAGTTGACCGACTTTCCTGATGGCAGCCGCGTTTGTCGTTATTTGCTGCATCAAATGAGCCCAAAGGTCGTCCAAGAGACAGAACCAAGTACACGCAGCCACGACATCGTTGTCAACATGCCACTCTTGTACGCCCATCAATAACTCGACCGGTCAAAAGACATATGTTATCCATCGGTCAAGCCAAGATTGGAAATAAGGAAGGAAGCAGTAAGCTTGCTGTGATCTTTCGATACGCAAAGTCATGCACCTCTTCGTTAGCTCTGCCTTTGTGTTACCCCCAACTACTTCAACCCTTCTCTGTTGAGCCTACAAGTGTCTGCCCACCAGCGCTTTGTAATCGGGAAAGTCATGGCCAACAGAAGCCTCAACCAATCTTGGCTGTCTTATCGATCAATGCCGTCTCTTGCCTGGGCTCGGCTTAAGATCTTGCAAGGACGAGACTATTCACAGTCTGACCACCCAATCCATCCCGCATCGCTGCTAATGGGTGATAACGGGTACATTATCCATTGCTAAGGAAAAGAATAGTCAAAGATAACAAGGTCGGAGATGTTGAGCCTGGGGTTGTTGCACAGATGGCCTTGCAGACGCCTTTGCCGATTGAACAGGACACTTCTTATCCTGAGCCTCAAACCATGTACATTCACCGCGGCATGCTTGTTCGTACTCGATGACGTCTGAGCTCATCAAAAGACTGTCAGATGACCTCGACGCGGGAGGGTTTTCGATCACCAATCAGAGAAGGTAAGCAATGACTCGAAAAGTAGTTTTTCTTGTCTCTGATTGTATCTATCATTGTATCTCAGCCCCAAGATCGGTGATGTGTTGATTCAGAGAACATGAAAGTCAGCTGAATCATACCAGCATTTGGTCCTTGCTGTTATTGAAGGGGGTGGAGCCGTCGGGGGCTATCAGCCAGACTCCGTTCTGTTTGGAAGTCTGCAGTCAGTCCCAACAGACCTGATGATTCAAGTATGATGACAGTGAAGAGAAAGAAATTCCTCCTCTTTTGAGGGTCACGTAGGATATGCCGTGTATGTCTCAAAACTTCCGAAGGTCTCGATGTCAACAGGCCATATTGAACCTCCAACGGCGTCACACGACAGTTGGACCTGCATCGGTGATGTTTTCGTGAAATGATCTGATAATTCATTCAGAGTCGGTTTGAAATTGACGCAGGCAAGGGGTGCCATTCTTCGCCTTGGAAACTGTGCAATAACTCCCCGTTAGTGCACGCAGATATACAGCTCAGTGACAGAATGAGATCGTGATTCCGCGGACATAGACTTGCTGCTCAATAGACGGTTACTGCACTTGCAGCTGCTCTACCATCAGACTCTCGTCACTCCCTCCAGCATAACGCCCATTTTCCTGTAGCTGTGTTACAACGGCCCGACCACGCGAGAATGACAAGTTGACGTGACCAAAAATGGTTGGGTCAGTCATATCATCTGCCCTGCCAGGAGCTGTTGTTGATGCAAATGCTCTATGCGGTGGGCAGGCGGTGTTGCTGAACGAGCTGCAGAGACGGGTGATGGCATGGGCGACACCACGATGAGCCTGTGCGACCAGTTACACAAACAAAGCCCGTCACACAAATGACGCCCTTTTTAGACAGTATGTGTCTCGCAGTAGCCTGGCGAGGTTCTGCTAGAAGTTTCTGGCCTTTTCGGACGTTCGGCTGAACTTGGTCTGCACGATCTTTGTGGTATGCACTTGCAAGTGTCCACATTGGGGCATAGTAGTTTACAGACGCTGCCACGGATCAAGCCGGAAGCGCGGAGAGAGCATCGTGGTAATACTTGGTGTATTCTTTAATGCTTGAGAATCAACTTTGGTGTTGATGTTCATGTCAGAGAACCCGTTGTTCAAGCTGGGTATGGAAGGGGGATGCGAGGCAGTCTAGTACCGTTTAAATGCATAGCTTGGTTGTTGCATATCGTCTCCATGCGCGTCGTTCTTCGAGGTGGAGACGGGAGGAGGCCTTGGAGTAGGGAATTGGAGCTTGGGAACTTAATGAATCCTTTGTTTCTCGACCTTCCTATACAGAAAAGTCCTGGGACAACTATCAAGACCATGAGCTGAGCATACGCGACTGATTTTCCGCCTTCAAAATGTCTGTTATTCTCTGCACAGGTAAATTCGACTCTGCTATCAACATATCCTCCAGTACAAGCTAACCCACCTCGTAGCTGGCTATGACCACACTATCAGGTGCGATCCGATGCGCTTCTCGACTGGTAATCGCAAATGGCTGACATGCAGCTTTTAGATTCTGGGAGGCCTTGTCGGGTATCTGTTCACGCACGATTCAACACCCTGACTCCCAGGTGAACCGTCTCTGCATCTCCCCCGACAAGCGATACCTTGCCGCCGCTGGCCATCATACCGTCAAGCTGTACGATATCAAGTCTACGAATCCTAACCCGTTGTTGACATTTGAGGGCCACACCGGGAATATCACAGGCGTCGCGTTCCACTGCGAGGGGAAATGGATGGTAACTAGCTCCGAGGACGGGACCGTCAAGATCTGGGAGACACGGACCGGATCCATTCAGCGAAGCTACAACCATGGCTGCCCAGCCAACGACGTGGTGATTCACCCGAACCAGGGTGAGATCATCAGCTGCGATAGGTCTGGAAGTGTCAGGGTGTGGGATCTGGCTGAGAACAACTGTTCCCATGAGCTCATCCCAGAAGAGGACGTCTCAGTCTCCAGCGTTACTGTCGCTAGTGATGGGTCCTTGCTATGCGCTGCGAACAATGCCGTAAGCAACAATCAGAGATGCTGGAAATTAATCTCTAACCATTTCGCTAGGGCAACGTATTCGTGTGGAATCTTATTCAGAGCTTTGATCGCACACAGTTGGTGCCGGTAACACACTTCAATGCCCACAAGGAATACATCACCCGTATTCTTCTATCCCCAGACGTCAAGAAACTCGCCACTTGTAGTGCAGACCATACAGCCAAGATCTGGGAGGTGAAGAACATCGAACCAAGCACAGATCTGGAACCCAAGCCGTATCCCTTAGAAGCTACTCTTACCGGGCACCAGCGCTGGGTCTGGGATTGTGCTTTCAGCGCCGATTCTGCATACCTGGTCACTGCTTGCTCCGATCACTATGCGAGATTGTGGGAATTGCATAGCCAGCAGATTATCCGACAATACAATGGACATCACAGAGGGGCTGTCTGCGTTGCCTTGAACGATTACTCAGAAACACGATAAAGGGGTTATATGGAGCACGGTATATCACTAGATTCATGCCAGGTTGGCGGGAGAATGGCGTTGGTACGATATTTTCAACAAGGTTCGGATATTACTGTTTGAGGATTGAAGCTTCGATACGGACATGTGCCCTAGATAGTAAAGTAAAATGCACCCATTTGTCAACAGAAATTACATTGTAAGCCCCTGGAGCATGACATCAAGTATGTGGCACTGAAGAGGCAATAATGCTGGCTAACTCCGAATATGGAATCATGAAACAGATCTTACATGATTTCATCTTTGTACACAATTTATTCACAAAGGGATCCAATCTGTTAACAGTTTCAATTGTTCACGTTTAAGTTATGCCGCTGGTAAATTCCAAGGCCTTCAAAACATTTGTGTAGGTATTAAGGTCGCTAGCTAGACAGGCAGCCGCACAGTTCTTAGAAATCCTCCTTGTCAAGACGCTCCTTGGCATTCTGCTTAGCCTCGTCGGAGACGCTGGGGTTGTTCAGGGTACTATTGCTATCAGGCGGTAGTCAAGTCTAAGAGACGTTGGAACTTACGCCTTGAGACCACCAGCAACATTGCCAGGGTTCTTCTCCTTGTTTTCCTCGGCGCCAGTGACTGTAAGGTTCAGAATAGGACTTATAATGGGAGGCGTGGAGCTTACCATCACCACCGTTGAACTCGTTCTTGAGAACCTGGCGTGAGTTCTCCTTGGCCTCCTCGGAGGTGTTGGGGTTGTTGATGGTAGCCTTGTGGCCGCCGGCAACCTGAGCATCGGTCATTTTGAAGGAAGTGTGTGGTGAAGTTTGTAAAGAATAGGAGGTCTTGTGGTAGCTGATGCTTAAGAGTCGTCGATGTGTTGATGAGAACTCTTGAGTTGGTAGTGGACAACAAGAACTTCTTATAGCTGTTTCTCAGTCCTTGTTTGGCCTCTCATCGCCGATCCCAGAGTGAAAGTCAACTTGAAAACATCAAAGATAATTTTATTGACGCAATTGATGAGCCGGGGCGTCTTCCAGCCCCCTCTTACTATGACATTGCTGTCGGCAAGTTGCTTTCTCACAAGGAAGCTTGCATATTGGCCTGGTACCCGACGGGATTGTTTGCTTCTGGTGAGAAATTATTGCGGGCACGGTTTGTTGTGTGGTGACGTGTAGGTGTCCCTGAGCAAGTGTCTCGTCACGGACAAATGCTCGATCATGGTGTTGAAGCATAATTGGTGACATTCTGACATGAGTGCGATATCAGAGATCTCAATTGGAAACATCATGGGGAGAGCCTGGAAGTATGTTATTGGGTCGATCGATTGTAGAGTTCGATCTTGTTGTAACCAACTTTCAGTCTTCAATGGCCTCCTTGCAAACCATCCACGATCATGCGAGACAAAGTGTATAGGTAGTCTAGATCAATCTTATTGCAGGCGAAGTTCGAAAAGGGCAAGTTGTTGGTTGAGATCGACAACAATACCACAACTTCTGAGCACAGCTGTTCTGACGCATCAATTCATATTTGCGAGGGACTCGTCACTAATTACAACAAATATTCCCTAAAATCACAGAAATATGCTTAAGTGAGGATTCCAAAGCAAACAAAGTTGAAAAGACGGTCTGTGCCAATTAATGAATCATGGACGCGGATCATGAGGAATCTGCGAGGTCCCGTGAAACACTGGATAAGGAGAGCGACATATGAGGAGGTGAGAGAAAGGGGTTGAATATTCGTTGTTTGAATGTGCTCAAGTCTTGGGTTACGGTGATTGGATCAACTGATAGATATTGACCGACCACTGAGTCTTATGCCAAATTTGAACTCTCGAAGTATTGGCGAGGAACAATCTTGAATAGAAACATGTCTAATATTAACGAATCCAATCGCAACCTGACAATGTTCTGTAAGCAAGATCAACTTGACTGATATATCAATTCTGTCATGTGTCTTGTGGTTGGTCAAGGGTAGCTTGATCATTAGAAAACTCTGCATGATTGGCAAGCTGAGACGTTGGGTATGATTCGGACAATTCCGAAGGTATGAATACAAAATTTCAACCGGCGCTGGCCGAATTATGTAAATATGCGGTCAAGTTGAAGCCGACATACGGATTGACGATCACTTAATCCTGTCTTCTGTGTCGTTGAGCTTGACAATAGTCCCGAGACCGAGAAGCCAATCACGGAGCGTACCAGCTTTCTAGGGCGATCCGAAACTTAGACGAAACCACTGTAAAGACACTAACTGGCTCTAGCATATAGCTGAACCGTCCTCGTGGGACAGCGAGACATGTTATGTCGATCCATCTGGATATGACGAGTGGCTCATCGGCGTGTCCGCGGTAAAGGGAGCGAATCAAACTCAATGGACCTCCACTGAGCGGCTCTTGGCAGTGCGTCTATCGAAATTCCTCATCGTCGGAACTGGGTCTCTCCCTACAGGGCCTATGTTGATCACAGGGAGGTAGGGAGGCCAACCACAGGCCTCATGTCCAACATCCTGATGACGTCGCATCAGAACTTTAAGTCCCCATGTCCAGCTGAACAGGGATCATCGCCAAGAAGCCCCGAGTGGCCGGGACGACATGTGGGCTGTTCCTAGCAAGCGGTGACAGCATCTTGTACCAAAAAGAATAAGCGATGTGTCTGTGTGAGAAAAAGATGTCCATGATGGATGGTCGGGTCGCTTGTCAGCGCGGGAATGCGGCTAAAAGCACTGACCATGCGGGGAGCCAGAAAGCGCCACACTAGCTGGCCCAAGCCCCCTGGATTCCTTAAGCAGCCCCCTGTAAGGATAGCGTCCTTAGTGGACAGAAATTCCCTAGGGCGAGGCTGAGTTCACGACCCGCCAGCCACGTTGACGCCTTAGCCTCCAGTAATATTTTTAGAACGCACATCTCCTGCGAGATTCTGCCCTTGGTTCAATCTCAACCTCCACACAACCATCACAACCCGACGACTAATAGGCCTCGTGGACTAGTATCAGCCCTTTCTTGACGAACGCACGAGCCTCATGTTCCCTGGCCTACGTTCACACCTCTCTTTGATCCCTTGATGTTGAAAATCTAGAACGCAGGGGAAGCTTGTGTTGCATCATCATCACCATCATGGCATCTGCAGACGAGAAGCCACCAGTCTTCAATTACATCCTCAGCTTCGTTCTTGTCGGCCTCGCGTGGGGCTTCACAACCCCTTTCATCCGTCGTGCCGCTCAATCACATAATCCACCTACGCATCCGGTGCTCGAGAGCCCATCAGTTCAATCTAGCTGGCTGAAGTCAAAGTTATACGGAGCTTTCTTTGCCGTCATTGACCTTTTGAAGAACCCTCGTTACGCAATCCCATTGGTTCTTAACCTTACGGGAAGCATCTGGTTCTTCTTGCTTATTGGACAGGCTGGTAAGTTGTGCTTCCTAAACTCGCCTGTCAAAGGTTGTCAGGGGGTGTCGATCGCGGATAGTCTAGTGAATCTTTGCCACGCCAAGGTGTTAGTTACTAATGACGACAACCAGAATTGAGCTTGACCGTGCCCATTGTAAACACGTTGGCGTTCCTCTTTACCGTTCTGGGTGATTGGTACGTTGATGGTAAAGTGATCAGTAAAGGTGAGTTTGTGCTCGTTCATAGCTATCTGTGTATTGACCATCTCAGATACTGCGGTTGGAATGGCTCTTATGTTGGTTGGAATTGGGTTGTGTGTTCAGAGCAAGCGTTGATAGACTAGGCTATTTGTAATTGAACGTCAATGATTTTGTATTCAGCAAATACTTTGTTCGGATTGGTTACCAAACAATGGACGAACATGCATAGGAGACTCCACTTCTGGAAGAATTATTTGGTGAAATATGAACCACAGTCATTGGCGAGGCATGTAAGTGGTAAAGTGAATATAAAGTTATTAGAGAATGTAAGAGAAGAGGTAGAGTGAATAGTTATGATATTGTCCTGCTCCAGGCAGTTAATGGAGCCCAGCCCCGTTCTCCTAACCAAGGTCCTGCAAGACCCAGGAGATGCTCTCCATCTATCTCAAAGTGTGCCCAAGCAACACAAATGTGTATCGTTTACGTCCAGTAAAAAAAACCATGACTCATCAGGTCATGAAGAAAATATAACAAACATGTTTATCCTTTGCAAAATCGCAACCCCAAACCCCAACTCTCCCCCTTAAATATCCGGTCGTCAAGGGTGGTCGTCAAAGAATCGTATGCGTCAAAGAAGTAATAGGGAGAAAGTATTCATGATCAGCGTAGACGTCGTTCGCTTGCTTTTTGGTTCTCTTCGCTTCGTCTCTCGTTCATCACAACCGTTGGTCCTGGGGGTATCTTAGATCGTACGTGGTAGCTTCGTCGTTTCTGTTTCCCTGGCGTATCGTTCACCGGCGTGCTCGGAGCCAGCGGAGCACGCTTCGGAGACTGGGATCTTCTGCCGTCCAGCGGCCCATTCCTTCATCCGAGGCCTTGAGCTCGGCGTAGATTACTTCGTCGGCGATGGCTGAGAGCTCCTGTGGCAAGAGTTAGTCTGAGATGGCTTAGAGCATTGAAGGCTATCATACCGCTCGCAGTTGACGATCGCATGCTCGAAGTTGAGACTGGTTGCTCGAGTTTGGTACGCCGCCCTGCAGCACCTGTGTTCTGTATTCAACCCATCGTTGAGCCGCCGCTTGTCGAAGGTAAATCTTCTGTCCCTCGTGTCGTCTCGCGTACGCGTCCAGGAGAACCCTTCAAGGCGTTAGTGATCTTGTCCCGAGTTCCTGTCTGGCAAAGTTGAAGACCTACTGTTTAAGCTCGGCCTTCATCTGCTCTTGCTCTCCACCAGGGGGAGTTGGCACGCTGGTATCGGCACCACATTCCAGAATGTGTTGTCCATCCAGCGCACATTGTCGAAGGGCAGCCCATCCTTCGGTGTAGTAGTCTGCAGTGTCCTCAGGATCGACAGGAGCAGCAGCTATGTAGTATTGCAGTGTTCGGAAATCAGAGAGAACCTCAGCAACTCGCATTGTGCGGAACTCGTTTACTGTAGGAGATAACAAGTTCACGTGTCAGTGTCTCTGAGTCTTTAAGGGGGGCCGTGGTGGTGCAAAGATGCCAATTGACCACTGTAGGTAGCTGCCAAGCTGGCCAGGTATAACTTACATCCGTCCATTATTTCTTAGTGTTTAGTTGGAATTGCTTTCGAAAGGTCAAGGTGATCAGACTAGCTGGGACACGAAGACAACAAGGCCAAAAAGGAAGAAGAGCTAGGAAATAGACTCGTGATGTATTCGAATCAAAGCAAAATCGATTTGAATCGTAAAATAGTCGGTGATGAAAAAGTTGACGAAAATGGTAGGTAAGGAAATATTATAAGAGCTTTGTCATGTCGATCACTTGGTAACAGTTGAGAGAAGCCGGTTCTTCAATGCTTGGTTGCTTGCTTGATTGACTGAACAATCGAAACAAGCAGCAGAACTGGGCATCCTTTTTGTATTGTATTATCGTGATGGTTGTCGAAGGCCTCCCAGATACTCCATCGAGAAACTAGAAACAGACACAGACAACAAGAAGAGTTCCAAGAAGCTCTTGCTCCAGAAAAGTCTCCATCTAGTCTAACTTCAGTCTACAGCTCGACCTAAGCTTGCCAAAGGCATGCCATGCTCCACCAACGGGAAGCGAACGGCTACTAGGTCCAAGGGGGGATACCACCCGACATCAAGCACCCCCTCTCTCTTCCTAGTCGAAGAGTCCTTACGGCACACATGAGAGGCTCGGCAATTAAAGCCAGCCTTCTGAGACAGAATCCTGGGCCACCAGTGAGAGAGTCGAGATGTGCCTCCACTCAGGACGACCCTTTGCAAGCGCATGTTCAAGTGCAAGCTCAAAAACATCGATGACCCCGGACCAGCTGGTGGCAAACCATCATGCTATCGAATGGAACCCAAGCACAAGGCCAAAGCCTTACCCTCAGCCCTACTCTTTACCCTGTCCTGCCCCTGGATATATGCAGAGTACTGCAGGGCCCGGAGAGTAAAGAGCCCTATGTAGGCAGGTAGTGTGTATGTGTGTGGCACGTCATGAGCATGGCATGGCATGGCATGGTGTTGAGGGTGAGGATGAAACCAATGGGTGTGTGTCCAGCCACACCAGGTTCTTCTCCCCCGATAGGGTCGAGGATCCGTGATGTTCTACTTGAGAGGCGTCAAAGAGGCGTTTCTCTTTCTTCTCGGCTCGGCTTGTAGTTTAAGCACGATACCGTATTCCGTCTTTAGACAGAGCGGCGTGGGTCAAGACTCAAGCCATTGCGAATTTCACATATCTTCAGTTTTTCCGACGGACCAAAACATCCTAAAAAGCATCTTTGTCCGAGCAGAACAAAGTAAAAATACACCGGGTATGTTAACGTTATACGCTAGGAAACGTGCAGTCACCTTTCCTGCAGGGGTGGGTGTGGTTGTCAGAAACAAGTCTCCGCAGAGAGACTGAGAGAGATGCTAAGCTTGAGATACAGTACCTGCCCTTGCGTGTAAGCAAAGAGACGGTCAAAGTATTTGATGGTCAATTAGTTGCGAGAGAAAATTAAATGTGTAGGTTGTTGAATAGCGCAGGTGGATGTGGTGGGTTGGCGCCGGCTCAGCTACCTGGCTACCCATGAGCCACTCACTAGTTGTTCCCGAATAGGAAACGCCCTGTAGCTCTATCGGGGCAGCGAGGCCAATAGGCGCGCGGATGAAGCTTTCACAACTGTCTGGGGCGAGCTGGATGGCTGTAAAGGGTCAAGCCTATCTACACGAGGCCGTCTGAAAAGTGAATGTAACCCTACAAGACATGGGCATGACACGACACAAGACAAAATCAAAGGGCTGAGTCAATAGCGGTGATTCCGATATGAGGAGTTATCGAGATGATGATTCATGTTGTTTACCTGGGTGGGTGATTGACGACTCCTGTCACCGACTTCCAGGTTTGATACAGAATGCAATGCTAGATTGCCTACCAGATGGTTGACATGGGGGGTCAATGTGGTAGTCCATGTCAAGTCAGATCTGAGACCAGCCCAGGGCATGCTGCATCTATCACATCTAATGACTTAGCACCTAGCTTGCTTACTTGGCTTGTCAATTCCAGCTCGTCCAGGTTCATTTCAACAAGGCATATCGCAGATATTGCAAAACATTGGGCTCTGCTCGAAACCACGAGGCACAGAATCGTCAGTTGACCGCATCTTCACTCACTCACTATCAAGCATCCACAATCCAATGAACTGGTCCTGGTCCACGCTGTGGCGTCATGTCCTCTATTCTTTGCATGGCGCCGTTGAAGACCGCTCACATCCTCTCCCCCAACCAACACCATTCCTCATGTTCTTCAACCGTTATTGACTTGTCCAAACCAAAGCCCTAGTCTGCATACGAACTCTCTACCGTTCGCCTTCTCAACGTTCGCCTTCTCAACGTTCGCCTCCCATCCCATCCCATCCTCAACATGAACTCCTCCGTCTCGGTTACTTTCAATCGCTCCCGCTCCCGCTCCCGCGCCTTGGTTCTGTAGACAACTTAACTACATCAGAACATGATCCTGTTTTTGGATTGGTCGTGGCTTGTTTTCTTTCAGCGCCCCTGGGAGGCTCAAATCGGCGCTTACTATGGGTAGCCAGCCATCAACTCCAAGGAGCTTCCCAGTAAACCAGGGCCCCCTGCAAGGACGTAGTAGTAGATCCGATCGACCAGATGGATGGCTTTCACTTTCAGATCATATTTCACAAGCCTTGTCAACGAGCTTGTCCATGCCATGAGAATCATTCATTACCAGCCACTTGCTAACTCCAAATCTGTGCATTGACATATTTGATCCCATATGATTATCACTTCCAAGGATGTGATGGAGGTACTAGCATATTTCGGGATAGCTCTGTTTGCAAATTCATTCAAACCTGGAAATCATATGTACTTGCAGTCAGTCGTCAAGAAGCCTCTTTTGTCATTCACGTTCTAGATCCTCGTATGACTTAGAGATCATACCAATTGAGCTTGTTTTGGAGAAAGTAAATGACACAGGTATGCGCATTGACCAAAATTAGAACAAACCACGCTAGAACAAACTTGCACCAAATCGAATTGGCTTCGCTGCGAGGCTTGCGCCTTTGTTCATGTCTGAAATAGATCCACTATTGAGAAATATTGGTTTTCTCAACTCTCGGACCTGCACTACCTCATGCATCCATGACCCACTAACTGGCATATGTTAGGCCCATTGTAGGCTCTTAGTAACTTGGCGCGAGGCATACTCGTCCTCAATTGGGTCATCAGGCGCGACTGTTGTCATTTGCTCAATTTGAAAGTCTCATCAGTTTCTATTGCACATGGTCAGGACGGCTAGTGACACACTGGCGAGGACCCACGCCCACGACGGCATCCAAGTCTCTAATCTTGATAATCCATCCCCCTGCATTGACATTGCATGGCCCGCGTTCCTGGGAGCAGAACGTCGTCCCTGCAGTCCACGAATCAGACCTCTGCTTCCTCGCGACAAAGTGCACCGACCTTTTACTATGGCCAGCCGATATGTTTCATCCCATGTTCCATATCATTCTCTCCACTCGCTCAGTCCTTCTCTGCGATAGCTTGTAACCGGTCGTCAATCTCGTCCTCAGTCAATGTTCGGAATCCCGAGTAGGTTCCCTCTTCACCGTCAGGTCGAGGTCCACCCACGATACCGATCTCGATCTCTCCCTTCTTGAAATC